TTATGGATGCCGATCTACTAAGGCCGATCATACAACGCTCAAGATTTGGCCACAAAGTCTTGTGAGTTTCTCAATGTTTTATTTTTCTTACCCTGAAATTTTTTTTTACAATTTTATACCCTCTCATATTTTTGATTTGCTATAAGTCCTTACTTCTTTAAACCACTAGTTATCTTCATAGCAGTGTGATATACTATGTGGACATCTAACCCATAAAACAAACATATTAACTAACTGATTTGCTTGTAACATGGACGTGGTAGAGACAGTGTATTCCAACCATGGGCTTTGATTAAAGCAGTATTCATACTTACCACAAACGTAAGAGCCCAACATCACAAAACGAAGGAGGGTGGCGTTACTGACCAGCAAACATGATGGTGGGGAGATAACTTCAATCCACCCATGTTTGTAGGGCAGAACAATTTGTTTAATTACGGCTCCTTATGGTTTAGTGGGATGTCACGAACATAAGGTTTTAATGCTGATTTACCATGCAAAATACCTCATTAAATCGTGTTACGAACGTTGAATTGGTTTCACTTTCTACCCAGTAATCCTATTACAAGCAAACTAGACAATTCGCTGATATACGAAGCCTAATCAAGACCCTATAATACCTGAAAAAATAATAATACAAAAAAACGAAAGGTGCTCCAATAGCTTCGATAATAAAAGGAAGACAGCCAATTGTATATCACAATACTGTTTCTAGCACTATATTTTAATTCATAACCACACAATTCCATATTCAGCTCCCTTCTGAATCGCCCCGATTTGTCAGATGTATGTCCACTCATGCCTTGTTAACACTTATCTTCTATAACCTATTAAAATGCTTTTTCTTAACAAATACCTTAATAAAAGAAAATTAGACTGAGTGATCATTATGGTGTTTTTCTCCAAGATTTGCATCACCTCCGTGCCACTGTGAATTGGTTGCTGAAAAAGTACAACAAATGGGTCTGTTCAACGGAATGTCAAGAAACATTCCTAAAACAGCTCCTATCACCAAACTTTCTGCTTAAACACTATAATCCAGATCGAATTTCGGTCGCAGCAAATGCGTCAAATTACGGAATCGGAGCAATGATTTCCCATAATTACCCTGACGGATCTGAGAAGGCGATCACCCAAGCTGTATGATAGCTGATTACGACAGAAAGGAGCTACGGTCAGATAGAAAAAAAGCCTTTTCCACCATATTCGCTGTGAAAAAGTTTGACAAAGCTTGACCCACTATTTATAGCCATCGATGAAAAAAGAAATCAGTGGTTGTTGAAAGGAAAAAGGCATCTGATCGCAAGGATTGACAGAGAAACGTGTGACTCCCAAACTGACTAAATTGATGAGGATAAGCATCCCATATAGCGTCGTGGCGTGACTTAGTGATGATGCTTGACAAAGCGCCGTCAGCCTGTAGTGTCCATTAAAATTAAAAAGATCAGCGTTAATACTGAATGTTTGTCAAACTATTTACTTGAGTTACTTCCCACCACTGTCACAATCGCCACATCTTACTCAATAATCTACCAACATAATCTTAAACCATTTGCCCTTTTAAATAAATTTACTGTTTCAAATCAGCTTAAATTTCTTTTTAAATCGATGCTTCAGAATGTCTCACATATTTTACAAACTGTAAGACAAACGAACACTCGGTTGAATAATTACTTTAAATATCCTAATAAACTGTTTCACCTAACATACCGTGTTATTTATAGACAATTTACATTTGCTTATTTTTTGTCGCGGTACTCACTGAACCAGTAGTGTAAGCTATATTTAACTAATTCTACGTTTCATATACTGTACAGAACAATATTTATCTCTGAGTAACGAAACTAGCAACTGGACAATCCGAGGTTTTTGAATTTTAGACGTTTATTTTATTTTCAGAAGGGGTTTGTGGAGATTTTAGAAATTTCACAGATTGAAACCTTAAGTCAATTGAAGCTAGACCACCATGGAAAACCTGGACGGCCGTTTCGTCCTAGTATGGGACTCCTCAGCAGTGTGCGACCACGGTACCGCACCCCGCGGGATTCGAACCCAGGACCTACTGTTTTTGCGCGCGAGCATTTAACCATTAGACCACCGAGCCGGCACCCAACGGTGTTAATGTCTAACTTCAACTAATCCACGAAGTTGCGCCACCATTGTCTTCAGTGAGCTGTCCAGTGCTTCCAGGTTCTCCATGAAGGTCTAGCTTCAACTGACTCATGATTTCAATCTGTGAAATTTCTAAAATCTCCACAAACCCCTTCTGATAATAATCATCTGCTCACTAGTGACTGACTTCAAGAGATACTCCTGGAGTTCTAGTGGGAAGCCGTTACCAGTGGAGTTCAACCAGGTCTGTTGTGAGATATCAGCTCACTGAAGACGATGGTGGCGCAACTTCGTGGATTAGTTGAAGTTAGACATTAACACCGTTGGGTGCCGGCTCGGTGGTCTAATGGTTAAGTGCTCGCGCGCAAAACCAGTAGGTCCTGGGTTCGAATCCCGCGGGGTGCGGTATCGTGGTCGGATACTGCTGAGGAGTCCCACACTAGGACGAAACGGCCGTCTAGGTTTTTCATGGTGGTCTAGCTCCAACTGACTCATGATATCAGTCTGAGAAGTTTAATTTATTTCACTAAACTTATGTTTAGCGAATCCCATATTTTGTTTTCGAGCGTATATCTTAGTTGTTGGGACGAATTATACAACTACAAAGCTTAATTGCCCCTAACTCTGAATGTAAGGGATTCATTTATTCACTTCACTAATGATAAAAACTACCCGATAATTTAATCTTCTCATGAAACTAAACTTGGGAGAAAGGCTCTTCGATTGATTTTGTTAGCTATGAAAAGTCAGTTTTGGAAAGAGCAGTACAAATATTACGGAAACCACTAGTTAATAATTAAATGTTCACGTTTTATCGGGTGAAGAAAGCAACGTCAAATCAACCCACTTCTGTAGATGATATTGAACAACGAAATGAGATCAGTTGTAATACTAACAGAAGCTTAGGGAACACCGGAAGACCATTACATATTTTCTGACTACTTAGCAGTAAACACTCACAAGCTTTATATGATATCAAAATGAAGATCAGTAAGTTTATTGGTGAAGTTTGACAACACCTTCAGTCCAGAGTCAAGATCCAGGGGTTCATATTTTAAACTTTAGTAAACCTATGGTACGCACGATTCCCATTTGATTATCTAGCCCCCGGACCAATATCATCTCGTGATGGAAATCACTTCAACAGTAAATGAAATCATCCGACTTGATAGAAACCTATTCTTAAAAATTCTCGTGAGTAAACCGAGCAGCAAAATCTACATTAGGATATGGTAAAGTTATACGTAACGCATCCCAATCTACTCGGTTGTGTTAGAGAACCTAGAGGTTCTAAAATCTCTCATCACTTCAAATCTTATTATTACACTACATTCGTCTTTTTATTGCTATGTTATCTACATATAGTTCTTGATATCACTGGTAAAATTATATGAACTATAAGACAGCCCCCCTCCAATGTGGTGATATTATCAGAGTTTAGTTTACTGCAAACTTGTCCCATGTTGTTTATGACTGAATGCACTACCTAATTATATTAGCTTCTAACATTATCTTCGTTTTGCTATCAGTAAAATGGAATAACTTGGTGCAATTAGCATCTTTATATTGTACAAAGTTGTAAAGATGAACATCACCGAACCATGCTGGGATCTTAATCGCTCTAGTTAATCAAGAGACGGGAAGGGTGGGTCAATGGTTCAATATACTATAACTTAGGATACAATTTAAGATCCTTGCATTATAGCTGATTTCAGTTCGTAGTGGAAACCATAACCTTATTTTGATAAATACCAAAAATACAATATACCAACTATTAAGTGGGAATTAGCTGTAGACAATCTCGCAATTTTATTTGACTCAAGTTACATGCACATTTGACACCTATTACGAAATGTATCTAGAAGAAATTAATGTTTACTCTAAAGATCTGAGCATGAAGAAAATACTGTGTTAATTTGTATGACGATAGACACCCAATAAAGTAAGTGAATTGTGCTAGTTACACCTTCTGGAGAACAATTAAAACTGTGCTACACAGTTTTGACTAGTCTATAAATACCATTTGATCCACCTAATTAGGCATATTCATGGTTAGTAAGCAGTTGATTATCATTCCTGAGTCTATAGCATCTTAGGGCTTAAAGTCAATTATCTTACAATCCGGTTGAGAAAACGAAATATTATAACTAATGTTCTATTAAGCCTAAAGAAGTTTTCATTTAATCTAGACCAATGTCGTTGATAGGCACTTCTGTCTTCATTCATAACATGATTGGTTTCTGAAAAAGAGGCATCAGGAAAACCATCAACAACTTATAGATGCAATAACTGAACAGGTCTAAGTATGAATGTCAGTCGAAAATAAATTAGGTCAACTTAAAATGTCTATAAATTGCCTAAAATCGAATGCAAACTTGTGTGCAGAAGTTTTTAGGTATAGCCGTCGATGACTTAAGGAATGTATTTAGAAGAACCGTTGATTCACACCAATCATTTATTTAAAAATACCAAACACACTACAAGTAAGAAATTTAAGACAATCGTAATAGGAACCAATTAAAACAAAAATAACTGATAAACTCGAATAGGTTAAGAGCACTAAAAATTGTGACAATGACGAAGCCCAACTCAAATCATCATACGTACCCGTGATAACATTTAACTTTGCCCGTTCAGGCAACAAATGTAGAGTATTCAAACAAAACACATTGAAGAAACCAGTCAATAAATTCGAAATGATGAAATATAACAAGCCTTTATCATTAATTATCAAGGATAATGGAGAATAGCTTAAATTTAGGTTGAAAAGTGATTTAAAGTGTATCAGTAATGAAATCATCGAAGAGAGAAAAAGAAAGCAGATGGCTGAGAGAAATATAATGAGTAATACATAGTTAGAATTTCCAAAACGTCTGGATGTCATTTGACTACCACCTAGTGAGTGGAAACAACTTATTGAGCATAGGATCATGAAAGCACAGATTAAATGTAATCTGAATAACGGAATATTACGCGGAAATTCCTTCTTGTTCAATGAACTTACTCCATTATTACTGTCATTATTGGTGTCTGTTGACAAATAAGATCGAACTATAAGTGATGAACTCAAATTGAAGAAGTAAATTGATGCATAACCAAATAAGGAGGTGACACCTTCAAAATTAGTAATCCATAAAGATTTTGATCGATTATCATTTATATAGTGTAGTGTTCTTGGATTAAACTGCCATCTTGTTTGAAAATACTCTGGACAAATTATTATTGGCAAAAATTCAGAGAATATTAAGAATATAGAGGATACAATGTAATAGAACAGAATTTGTTTTTTCAGTGAAAATGTTATCAAATAACTACTGATAGGATTTTCAGTGGTCACAACGAGTGATATGGCGCGTATCAATGCAATAGTATAAAAAAAGTTCCAATGGACACCATATTCTACAATATTCTGATGATAATTTGACATTTGAATTAATAATGTTCGTAATAATCCTAAAAGTAAACATGGTACTACAGAATTCAATGTACAATCTAAAAACCTTTTACTATTACCTCTGTAAATATTCATATACCAAACTAATTTAGAACCGGATATACTAGATGCACATATAAATAAACCTGTACCAACATCCATTAAACCAACACCATTTAACTCAGATTTAGCAAAACGTCTTGGACAGATTGGTAAATCAATAGCATAAATCATAATACAAGAAAGTATATATATGGTGGTTCGTAAATAGGCAATTAAAATATCCGTTGGAAAAAAATGGAAATTTCCAAAAGAATTCATTTGATTATAGTTTGGTAATAATAACCATAATAGAAATATGACAAAACAACTTATTACAATTATAATAATATAAGAAGATAATAAAGTTAATAATAAAATAATTGGTAATAGAATAATGAAATAATCAATAATCAAAGATAAATAAAATCGATTTTTCGATAATATATTAAAATGTATACATACCAGTGATCGTAAACATTGTAATATTAATGGAAATAAACAAATACAGATAAGTTCCATCATTGATGTAAAACCTATACGTTTTGTCAACTCATCGTATTCATTATTATTGGATTTATTCATTCTGTGTATATCTACACATATATGTGTAGATATTGTGAGCAAGAAACGAATGAATTCTAAAGTAAATAAGAAGAAATATTAGAAAGTTTAATTTAAAAAAGTATTTAATTACTTTAAAAGTATAAATGTGAAAAACATACCCCCCCCCTACTTCTAAACATACATAAACCGGATTATTATACAATTAATTCATTGGAATTAGATCTATTGTTTATATTTTACAATGATGTTTAATTTGAGTGTTGATAATTGGAAACTTTTTTTAACGAATTTGTTCAAAGTTATTATGTACAATATGAAGACCGGAAAGTTTTAGTTGTATCATTTGTAGGATGTTACCATAGTGTTCCCTTATTTATTTATTTATTTATTTGAACACAAATATTGGTACAAGGGGGAACCAGATATATGTGCGCCACACAAGTTGAAAGGTAAGGATACACAAGGTGAGAATGGGAGAGGGTGGACAAGTGACGTGGTACAAAAAATAAAAGTGAATGTTTTCAAATGGGTATGGGTTATTTGAATTTTAATAGGAGTGCGAGTAGTTTACCTAATAGTTACTGTCATTTCATTTTAATTATGTGAGAGGTGTGATACTGCCTGGGTGTCAAAACCGAAGCAGGTGGTTTACTTAGGGGGCCACTCTCCGAGCTTTTGACCTAAAGGTCTGATCCACAAGGCAGTAGAGCAACGTAAGGAGATGCAGTCCCATGGTAGCCAGTGAACAATTAGTTCATAAGCCATTTGTCTCCTCAGGATCCCGGAGCCCATGTGCACCATTGGTTTGGAATCAAAGTTTTACAACTCCCCTAAGTGGATCCTCCATATCCACCAACCCGGTTAAAACGCCGGACACTCGCTTCTTGTCCTCTCGATTTCGTAAACACCCCCGCCACCAGAAGGCCATGAGTAGGACTTCCCTGGCAGAGGCTGTATACGCGTGGCCGTATGAGAGCATTTCGAGAGGGAGAGCGGACTCTCTCCACTCTCGGCCGTACCAGGGCGCTTGTAAATAAACATCTTAACTAGCGGTTAAATACATGATAACAATTGTGAAACTTTTGTTACTTTGATATTTCCGAGTACGACAACTTTTCAGTTGGATGTCTGAGGAAAACAAATATTTACAAACCGTTGTACTCTCAGGACATTTCATTATTATAGCAGGCTAAACTTTACTGCCCAAACCGAAGCAGGTTAGTATTTAAAAGCCAGAACACGAATCGTTGGGATGGTGTATCGTTAATAATTAATAAAATCCACGAGAGCGCGATAGCAAGCACACCGCAAAGCGAGTGAGTAAAAAAGAGTTTTATGGGTGTTAATCGATACGTGAGTAAAGTTAATGATTGTTTGAGTTTGTAATCAATGAGAGGATAAATGAAGATATGGGTGCAGACCTGCGTTCAATCAAACTGACACAAATATGTAAACCACAGTAAGTATAATAAGGAATTTGGTAGGTAATATTAGATGGCCTTCCATCCAAAACATTGACGTCTTTTTGACATAGATGTCGCCCATTCTAATGATAATAGTAATCATGTGCTCACTAGTGACTGGCTTTAAGATGGATTTCCTGGAACTCTAATGAGAAGCTGTGACCAATGGAGTCAAATATGTGTTGGGTAGAGACAGTTATCTACCTCAGACGATGGATAAATGGTTACACAAGACCATGGATCGACTGACGTTAGACAATAACACTGTTGGATGCCAGTTTAGTGGTCTACAGGTTAAGCGTTCGCGCGTAAGATCGAAGGTCCTGGGGTTCGAGTCACGTATGCGGGGTCGTGGTTGCGCACTAGCGAGGAGTCCCATACTAGGACGAAACGGCCGTCCAGGTTTCCAATAGTGGTCTGGCTTACATAGACTCATGAATTTAGCTATTAAAAATATTATGTATAGTCGCATTTATAGTTAATTTTATACGCAAAAGTAGTAGTCTCTAGTACAATAGAATGGAATTGAATACTTGAAAAAAAACATGAAGCGGTATCTAGTCCCAGAATGTTTACGAAAATATGTTACTCAAAGGAAGTCATGTAAAAAACAGCTAGTGAGAAGTGATAAGATGAAGATAATTGTCCACTTGAAAGTTGTTAAGAACAGAATAATAATAATTTGTAATAATGGCTCATTAATAGTTGTAATAAAAATCCAAAAAGAGTACAAATAAATATTTTAAAAAACCAGCGACTATGGGAGATTAAAAGGAAGATTAAGACCATAGAAGGATGAGGGACTGAACATACTGTTTTTGTACGCAAAAGTTAGGCTTCGACTTATGGATAGTATAAGTGTGATGAATTAGAATGCTTAAGACAGTCAGTAAATATATGGTAATAAATAATAGAATATTTAAGAATCATACCAGTTTGATGATCTCCAACTCAGGAGAAATGATTAGTTGAGAAGAAAAATGAGCACTAGTTCTATACGTTAATAGCTATTGTTCCTTCGCATTTATTGGGTAATTCCTTTAGTCAGTCACAACGTAGAACCTCTGCGTATGTACATCGGTTACCATATCTCATTAGCACACTGAGACGGGCCAAATCCCAGAATAGTAGAGGTAGTAGCAGTATAAGTGATAATAGGAAAGATTAGGCATCGAAGATATGACTCGAAAATATGTAAATTAGCGAAATAAAAACAAATATTATGAGGAATTCATAATCACACGATTTGGAGGAAGACAAGGAATCGATGGACCTGAGCTATTGCAAACGATTTCGAGCAATGGCCTGCTTGGATATCTGGGCTACCTGTTCCTGCCATTTAGATATTTCAACGAGTTACCTGTCTTTTGTTTGTTTCAACAGATCATTATATCAATTAATTTCACAACCTATTCAGGTGCGTTTGTGAAAAGTTCATGACCTTTCGCTGTACAAGTTAGGAAAGAGCACAATGAGAGACAATGTGGTTGTTGGCTATATTACATAGAAAATAATGTACATTATTCAGATGTCGATTCCTGAACTTCTGATCCCTCCATAGCTTTCTTCCAGCCTACTCCTGCATCAACAAACATAGCCCATCAAGATGGGCGTTGGTTGGGTATACGTAACACATATCCCAAGCACTCCAGGTAATGAAGATTTACTACCTCATCAACCTATTTGGGATCAAGGGAGAGAAACGCATCCCAAACTGTCTATCGTATTTTTTCTTCATGACTGCTGAGCAAATGGATTTGACAGGTCGTTTCTGTGATGTTATTGGTTTTGACGGGACGTACAAGACGAATAACGAGAACGTCTATTTATATCAGGTCGTAGCCCTTGATATGAATTTTAAGGCAATACCCGTTTGCATTGCATTTTTAAGTCGCGAAACGTCGGCCTTGATTTCTCTTCTTTTTCAACGGTCTACGAACAGTCGACAGGTGATAGGCATTGTGACCGATGATTCACCTGCAATAGCTGCTGCCATCACGCAGGTCTGTCCAGATGCCCACCATATTTTGTGTCGTGTACACCTTGTTCGCAATGTGATAAAGAGGGTAAGTGTATCGTTCATTAACACTAACCCATTAACCGTAAATGTAGAGGGTACGATCAGAAATTATACAACTATTTTTTCGCCTGATGTTCACTCGAACGGTTGAAAGGTAAATCAAAAGGTGCATAACATTATTTTGTAGTTTTAACAATGTACTATCGTTAATCGAAAATTCCGACGGAACGTTTGCCAGATATGTGAGAGACCACCTACAACCGAAAATACACAAATGGTCTACTGCTTTTCGACCATCATCAACGCTGCTTGAACAAAATAATACCAACTTCGTGGAGACGAGTCATCGAATTTTGAAGATGCATAAGCTGAATCGAAAAACACCGGTGTTGAGATCCATTTTCAGTGTGCTACTTCGCACTGGATATTGGATGGAAGCGAGACTACAGAAATATACATCGGTGTCGGCTAAAAGGAAACATTGGTCAGGAGCCACAACGTTCAGTAACGATGAGGGGGAAGTAGTTTCTATTAACTCCGAAGAGTTCATGGAACGGGACTTCCAATATGAAGATGATGAAGAGAACTGTTTGTGTGATATATGTAATCGTGCACAGCCTCTATGTGAAACTGGTGATGCAGTTGGTTGGGTTTTCTGTCCTCGTGAAGCAATGTTTCATAGGTTCTGTGCCTACGACCCATCACCGGACGTACGAGCAGTGCACTGTCCTATGTGTGGCGCCACTACAAACTAAAACGGGAACGAGTACAGGCCCTTTTCAGGGCCACCCACAATTTGATTTCCATAATGTCTTCTCAATTTCTTCCCATTAATATCTAACGAACTTAGATATGCCTTATAGATTAATCATTGATAAGCCATTGTAGCTCATTTATTCGTAAACTCGTTTCCGACGTTCATTAGATATAAGGGTTAAGAAAACTTAGACAAGATTTGGTAATCTAATGAACAATAATCTAATAGTGTGTGTACAGAGTAAATGTACATATATACAGGGAAATGGATGAGTCAACGATTAGATTAAGCAGCTAATAATGAAGTTGGCAGAATGAATATATGCGTAGGGTGTAAACATGTTCATTCACATATATTTCATACACGTACAATAATAATAAGAGTACAACAAGTTGTTATAGTATGGATGACTTTGTCCACTGAATAAGTTAACAAAAACGGCTTAACTGAGGTAAATGAGAATCAACTCAATTGTATGAGTCGCTATAAATATAATAAGATAATTACTATTATTAATGTGATTAAAGCTCATAGAGAAGTAAACGCAATTATTTATGAAACAAGTTGAAACCATCATCATTGAAATGACTAACGTGATTAAAGGTCATATACTGGGTGTAAAAAGAAATAAGAATATTATCCGTTTAATGAATACAAAAAGCAAGAATTTCATA